CTCTCTCTCTCGCTCCACGCACACATACATACTCTCACACTCTAATTCTCTCTCCCTCCCTCCCTCCACCCCTGTGGGAACACTGGAAAAATTTTCACCACAGTCCTGACATAAAAGGATTACTAAAAAGCACATGCAAAAAGTATAACATCACAGATTATATATTAGGCTAATTGCATTTTCCTCGCTTGGGCACTTTAAAGTACACAGTAGTGCGTTTAATATTACATTTTACACTAACCTTTTAATTAAAAGTTTAAAAGCACGAGACCAGGGAAATTAACGCAAAAATGTAAATGAAAAATATCCCAATTGTAAATTAAATTTAAAGCAATACTGCCGTACGTATCCCATCAGTACCATTCGGGTATAATCAGATGGCGTGATGTAAGGAGCTAAAGTCCTGATTCCACAGATGCCTGCGTGAGAGAATCTTTCCTGTTTTTTCTCGCTGTGCTCCTGGAGCAGTTATTTATAATAACCCACTTTGGCCAGGACACCAACAAGTATAGGTAACAGGCTTACAGGTACACAAACAGCTCACCATCATTGGCACACTGCATAAGTATACTAAGTACCATGATTTCTAAGGTTATGAAAACTGAGGTAGCAGAACATCAGCGTGACGTGCGTAATCAAAGATAGACAGACTAAAAAATATATTATATGAAAAATATTACACAAACACTTTACAAACTAAAAAAAGTTAAAAGTAAAATAAAACGCAAAAAATATGAAATCACACCTGTTGCCTGTGGAGATCGTTCCCGTCTTAAAAAATGCACCAGCGTCATGTTCAACCAGCGGACTTACATGAACTCATTTGAATCTTCATTTAAATCTGATTGGGATAGCAAGCCAAAGCCCCCCACCCTACCCCAAACAGCGTTCAGACCTTCATTAATGAGGGGCTTATAGGGGGACAGGGGGATAACAAACCTCTCGCCAGCCCTCTCCTCCCCCTTTTCCCCTCCCCAAATCTTTGGAGAAATGGAACATCCTCCCCAAAGAGGCGGTCCACAGCAGATTTACAATACAATCACTTTAAGTGCCCCGTAGTCCACATCAATCCTAATCCTTAAAATAGCTAAAAATAAAGATTGCAGGACAGCTCACAAGGTAGCAGCGATCAAATTAGGAGACTGGGAGGACAGAGAGGGACGGAGAAGGAGGCTTATGAACATCTGATCCAGC